CATTGATGATCAACATGCATTATGGGAGATGTAGTTTATGGTCAAAGCTAACTTTAAAGCAGCTCATTTTGAGACATTAATACTGTGCTATCCAACTAAATTGCTCAGTTATTTAAAGTCAACAGCTCGAGCAGGACAAGTATTATTATCTTTTACCTTTTGAATGTGTTTATTTTATTGCATTTAAGCATACATTTAAAGTTTACCATTGATATAAGAAACAATTTTCATACTGCGTAAAAAAAATACCCCCCATGGCGGGCCAGACAGGAGTCACCTGTTTATYAGTGACTCCGTGTTAATTTAATGTGCTCCTAACTGCCTACTCTAGTCTTTCACAATGCAAAAACATATTCACATTGCAAGTATCCTATGATAGGAGTAAAATGGTGTAAATTAAATATTTTAAACAATTTAACAAGTGGTGACAGCAGGCTCATCATCCATCATGTTGTAAAACAAAGTAGAATTTGACGTGGTCACTGCTTGTTTAAATATTTTACTTAATCTGGTCTTTAATAGATTTTTTTGGTCATTAACTCAGTTTTCAATGTCTGCGTTTATAGATCAGTGTGATATTAGTGGGAAAAACAACATGGCAGGCCACTACCATCAATGTTTTTTTTTTTTGGATAATGTCGAATCACAAATCGTCTCAGGTGGTCCTGTGGATGTAGGTGCCAACAAATGTAACAGAACTAATGAAGATCTGCATCCAAACATTATTTCATTATCTATGTAACTCCCATTAAAATAGACCTGCTTAGCCTTCACAAGTGATTTGTATTATTTCATTTTTTTYCCAACGCAGCTGGCTGAAGCAATATCTTGCTGATATTGGTGAGACCGGCAGCATATTTCCCTCGAGTGTTCAAATGCAATTTTGTGAGCTGGATGTGGCGAGGTTGTGGAGAACTTGCATTCTCACAGTACATAGGTGTGTGTGAATGGCTGCAAGCATCTGCAAACAGACAAATTAACAGCCAGCAAACTAAAACAGACACATATTCAATGTTTAGGCTGAGACTGTGATGCATTTCTACAACAGTGTGGTTCTTTGTGTTTATTTGATTGATGCCTTTGTTGAGGCTGACATCCAAAGGTTTAAAGTTGTGAATTAGAGAAAAAAGGTGACATGTGAAGACAAAACTAAGCCCAATTGATACTGATAAGGTTGTCACCTGTCAATATTAGGCAGTTTCGAATGACAGACATGTAGTCTTGCCACATCACTGCACCCTACAGACACAGCACTGACTTTTGAGCTTAATCCTAAAACACTGACATGCCTGTACACCTCTGTACTCATGTCCCAATTATACAGGCCCTCTGTAGAAACATACAATGCCTGCAGCATCCCGCGCAACATCCCACATGGCATCATTAAAGTCAAACACGCTGCTTGAATTTTTTATGTCCCTTTTTCTCCTCACCTTTTCCACACGTCGGCTTCCTTTCCTCTTACACCCCCAACCCCTCCCCCCACTTTTTTATTTTGAATTTATTTCTACCTTGTCTTATTCTTTTCTTGCAGCTTCTGTTTCTCCGCCATTCTGTCACAGCATACTGTGCTTCTTTTCTATTATGCTTCTTTCATGGTTCACTGTCTTTCTATCACATATCAGACAACGGCACGCTTCAAAGCTTGCTGTCACTCATCATCACAGTCATATGAGGGAGAGAAAAGCCATAACCAGGCTGAAAGACAAACAAACAAACAAACAAACCTGCTTAAAATGGGCAATTTAGACTTAAATATTAAATAGCATAAAATGTGTCTCTATGTGGATTACTGAGCAATAAGCACAATATAGAAATATATMATATAAAATAAAATATAATATAGCTGCCATTTTAAAAGATAGAAAATCATGTAATTGCCTATGTGTGTGTGTGTATGTTAGCAAAATGTCTCATGAATTGCTGAACAAATTTACCAAAACTCAGATGCTGTACATCTACAACATAAACCTAATTTATCTAATGCATCTGTTCTATATGTTATATTTTTAACACAATTCTTGTTACAATAAATAATAATGTGTTTAAAAATATGTTTAAAAAGATGTTTAAAAAAATGTTTAAAAAAATGAGTCAGGTCCTCTGAATGGGTTCGTCTTCATTGAAACATTTTGTCTCTTCTCCAAGAGATTTCTTCAGTCTGGGGAGTTGCAGGTAAGCTCAACTTTATAAGCAGTACATTTGTCTAGGGAATCAACACGTTTACTGGTGACCATCAAAACTTGTTCAAGTGCAAAAGAGGACCATCAGTCTAATGACTGATGATCGTTAAGGCTGATGGTCCCATCCAGAACTTGTCTAGAGGAGCTGACTCAATTTTTTTTTTTTTTTGATTTTCCTACCTAGATTGTTAAGATGCACCAGGACAATAATTAGTGCTGTACAGTCAACACAGAACTTGTATTAGAAACATTATTTCATGTTCACATTTTGTTTTATAATCATGTGGATGCAATTTGACTTGTTGAAAATGTGATTTTTTTTTTGTTTGTTTGCGGAAACACAGGTGTTTTTAAAGTTGTTCACAGTTGTGATGAAAGATTAACTTTAAATGGAGGGGGGTTTCTATAATAGGGCCATCTGCTTTGTTAAACACATTATTTTTAATGGTACAAGGACAAAGTGTACTTGCAGTCATACGTTAACAATTTGCTCATGAGAAACATTTTTTCCAACCTAAGTCTTCTCTGCATGTATGAGAGTGTCATTATTTTCATTATTGCATTATATTACAATATTTTCATTTTTCATTTTGTGATGCAATCTTCCAGGATAACATAAACACTGGGATCTGGATCAGGGCAGAGCTGGCAAGAACTGAATGAATGTATATGATGTGCAGAGATTATTGATCTGTTTGTGTCACTCTTTCAAAATAAGCACTGCCTAATGGCACAGCATGAATGCTACCATTAACAATGAGTGAGAGGGAGAGTTTCATGTATCAGTGCTTTACTGAAATAAACATGAACTTTTTCTTTTTTTTCTTTTCTGAGCTTGTTTTTAGATAAAAGCCCTGTAGGTGTTTATAGAAGTGTTCCACAACACAAAATGAAAATAAATAAATAAATGACTGAATAAAAGCGGGAAATTGAACATGAAAATTACTGTTTCTATTGCTGCAGGGAGTAAAATTAAACACAAAAATATCTCTCTGATAGGAAAATAATTTGCACCTTATAATGTATACCAACAAAAACACATCACATTAATATAATAAGTTATTTAAATGTTTTGTGCCACAGTTTGTCTCGGAAACAAATTTCAAATTCACACTGAGGGTGTATTCACCCCAGCCCTGTTTAGTCCATTTGAATTGAAGTCTAGTTCGTTTGTCTAGAAAGTCTGTTTCATTTTTGGAGGTGTGAATGCGTAATTGAACTGTGATGTGGACCAAAAAAGCAAACTCTGGTCCTCCAGAAAACCTATGTCTCACTTAGGTTGAAGTGAACTCTGGTGTGGTTTGATTGCCTGTGTGAACGCCAAGCGGACCGGAGACTGCTCCAGAAGCAGGAAAGGGCCAATAACGCTGGTCATTCTGAGTAATAACAATAATAAAGTTACTCATATATTGTAAATACCTCACTCAATATCTGTACAAGGTGGACATCGCGGCTGTGAAGTTAGTTGTGCTCCTACTGGGTGAATGCCGGCTCATACAGAGCCGTCTCAGCTGACCTTGTGTAGAAAAATAACATTCGTCACGGTTCCACCTCATCTTCCACTCACGCTGAGGTCATTGTTGAAGACTACTTGTTTGGCACATTTGCCAAAAACAAACAAACAAACAAACAAACAAATAAATAAATCCAACAACAACTAAAATCTGATGTCACTCCATGTTTGTTTACATTTTATGAAGAAGGAAGTTGCGCTCCATGTCCACAAACATCGAACAGCTCAAGTCTGTGACTGATACATTGCACAAAGAGTATATAGCTACACAACTCCAGTGTCGGCTAGGACATTTCTAAGCATTAAAATACATCCAATTTATACATCAAAATACACTAAAAATACATATATATTTTCTGCCTACATATTGTATTCATGTTGTCAACCATGCAACTTTCAAATTCACATAATGAAAACTATGCTATAAAATACATGCAATACACTAAAATTCACATAATATAATATCTCAGAAACAATAAAAAACAATTCATAAATAACCTTGCAACCTCTAAATGTATATAAATATCCATATACATCCTCAGTAACTCGCCATCCTTTCGCATTTAGCTAACATACTAAAATTTGTAGCTATAGTCCTAACTCATGAACACATACAGCCTCACTCTGACTTTCTCAGCCATTACATGCGAGTACTAGAAATGAACACATCTTTGGTTTTCCTTTAGCCAAGATTTAGTCATGTGGACATTTTTTTAGGTACAGGTGTAGCTTTTACTTGCAGAGGTAATAAGTTCCATAATGTTAACTTTAATAACTTATGTATGAAAAAGGTTCTACATAGGGGAGTTTGCAATTCTGTTGTAATGATCCTCTAAGGCAGTGGTTCCCAAACTTTTCAGATTTYGACCCACAAAATAACATTCGCAGAAACATTTGTATCAGGTCAACTAAACACGGGCATCGTAACAATATTTTTATACTACATTTATCCATTTTAAATATACTAACCTCACTCCTTTATAACAACTAAGGCAAAAATGTAATTAATTCAGAAAATCTTTTCAGGACCCCACCTTGATGTTTCAGGAGCCCACTTTGGGTCCCGACCCCAACTTTGGGAAACACTGYTCTAAGGACCCTGTAGCAAAATGTACTATTTTTTACTAATCCTTACCTACAGACAAGTGGTGTTAAGGAATGTAAAAACACAGGTAAAACGTTGCTATTTAAAGATGAAAACAGCAAGCGGTTATTTGTAATAAAGGCTGCACCTGTGTCTTAATTTAGTTTTATCCAGCACTGGCCAGGCTTTACATGTCGCCTGTCCTGTGACGGTGCTTTACCTGGATCCACGGCCATCTGTCATTTTCGGCAGCAGTCCAGGCATTGACCAGGCCCTTCTTGTTGAGGCGTGCAAAGTACGGGTACCATTTCTGCAAACCAAACAGAGCGCGGTGGGTGGAGGAGGCTGTGATCTGTTGGTTGGAGATGATGCCACCCTCCATGCCCAGTGGCCCGGAGCATTCTGAGAAAAGAAAGAGAAAAGACAGATGAACCTTTAAAAAAAATCAAGAAAGAAAAAAAGTCAGCAACTCCACCTAGAATTCTAAAACACAGTATTATAGTTGTTAGGGTAAAGTTTTTTTTCTCTATCCCCGGACTGCATTCTGTTCTTTTCTTCTCTGTCCTGTTTTCATAGAGGTCCCCGATGTGTCCATTACAGCAGATTCCTTTTAGGTCAAACCTGTCATTAAGCAGACTCCTCTCTGCATTCATACTGCTCACATTTGACTGACCTATTTAAAAGTTTTGCCTTCATTTTTTTTCCCAATCAGAAACAGACCCTCAGTAACTATAGTCACTTCTGACCAGCAGTAACCCCAGAGTCAGCAGGCTTTGTAACAACTTCAAATATCTCCACCGGTGCAGAATTCAAGTGAGCAGCTAAGASAGCATCATCCTCAGAGAAAAGCACTGCTGTGTCTTTAAGCAGTTTGTTTTGCCACTTAATCCTAATTGGTATGTCCAGGCATAGCAAATGCGTTTTAAGAAATATACCTGAGGTAAAAGGCACTCTGGCAAGGTTGATCCAATAAAGAACTACTTGCTCTGCAAAACAGGCACCCCGTTTTTGGCCTCCATAAAAAGAAAAACATTTAGGAATAAACCTCTTACAAGATAATAATAGAAAACACCTGAAAGGCAATGTGCTTGTAAGTTGGAATTGGGACATGTAAAAATAAAGATTCACATTCAGCAATGACCAAAATTATTACATAAAACTCAATGTTGAAATCTCATTTGCACGCAATTTTTTTACATTGTTCCCTCCATACCCAGAAGGTMTTTGATTCCCCCACTTTTGCTCACATTCACAAAAATGTATTACRTTTGCAAACTATATAGCATTGTTTTTACAAGATAACAGAGTTTCTGCAAAAGCATGATGATGGAAGAGCAATAGTAAGGGTCCCCGCAGTTCAGCTATGGTTGAAGAGCGATATGAAACAGCTACAGCACATCGGCATTAAAATGTAATGAGGTATGTCTCAAGTTACTCAAGAAYCCTTCAGCCTGAACAAACTGTTAGAACGGAAATGTCTCCACTCAACGCCCAGTCATGCAAACCTTTTCCTTTAATATGCAACACACTTAAAAGATGGTAAAAAACTGGATTTCCTTTGAAAAAAAAAAACATTTTGTTTCACAGACATGACAGACTCATGCCACTTCTTCTGGTCTCCATTGCAGCCCATAGTAGCCTCAAAGCTCTGCTGAGGCATGGCTACATCTTTAGTGAGACGCTGAAGTTTTAATTAGTATTTGAGTCAGGCAAATAGATGACATAAACGCAAAAAGATGAGTTGAGGATAGTTTTTTTTTTTTCAAATTGAAAATGACTGCTGAATAAACAACATCCAAATCTACTGCCTTCTTCACAAACACTTTTACTGCTGAAATGTTTTCATTAATTCACGTAAATTGAATCTATAAATAAATTATTTTTGGARCCACACAATGCTGAGGGTGCAATCTAATACAGGAGTTCCCAGGAATGAACTAAAATTGGTTGGATAGCTTRGATTTTCTGATGACCATTATTGCTCTGTGGAGCATTAGGCACAGTAACAAAGTTTAAACAGTTAATATCATACCTGCTGCAGAGAGCTTTTTGAATGGCCTCAGTCTGGAAAAATATTTTTCTTTTAGTTTTGACCAAATTAACAATCTAGTGGAATGTCTGAAAGGCCAAGATAAATATGTCTATTTTAATAACAATTCCAATTTACAAAAAAGTTCATCGTGGCTTGTGCAAGTGTTAAACTTGTGAAACATTGCATTGCAAAGAATTTTACATTACACAGTTAAAGCTGCAGTAGTTAAACTTATAAAAATCTTTTATGTTTTACCATCCATCCATCCATCTGAAAGACAGTAGATAATTTAGACGTGTTAGTTAACCTTAATACATGTTCGTAACCAGATAGACAAAGCACCAATAGTTGAATGTTTGAATGTGAAAAGAATTCATACAACCACATCAGCGCTGGGCTGGAATGCAAGTTTAATGCTTGTCTTTGCTCTCTCCATGCATTCAGCACCGAAACCAGGAAGTGGTGTTACCTATAACAATTTCTTCATAATCTTTGACATCACTGAGGGGGGAATACTATCCTTTTCCAGGGTCAAATCCTCTTGACATAATTCCTGTTTCAACTAGGGTTGGGCGATAAATTGATTTAATCATTTAATTTGAATTTGCCATTTATAAAGATTTAATTTGGGGAAAATCAAGATTTTTTTCCCCACCAGTGCACTCTTTGGGGCTTCTGTAGTTCAGAGTTCACCCCACCTGTCACTCAAAATGCTTGGTACACAACATGACAATATGGCAGCTAGMAAAGATGACCTACTTCTCAAAAAAGGCACTTTCTTCAGTTTTCTGGAACTGGTTAGGTTTTTCAACCTCGGACTTGGAGCAACAAACGCCTCACTGCAAAATCTTTTTAAAGGCTTTTGCTACAAAAAGCAGGAGTACAACAAATTTGTTTCGACACCTGAAACAGAGGCACTCTGTTAAGGCCGGCATCACACTACAAGCAATTCATGCAGATTTTTGCCCTTCCGACAATCTTAAGGAAGTCCAGATTATCGTGATGCTCTAAAGATAATCATAGCAGACATTCACGCCATGGGTGGGGAGTTAAGAGTGATCTAGTCAGCTTGGAAGGACGTCGGGACCACTCCAACCTCAAATCGGGGATATTCAAAATGTTTGATTTTTGGCCCGATTTCACACCGAGCTCTCAGACTGTGAATGAGACGTGTAGCCAATCAGAAAGTGAGGTGACATAAACACGGAGAGGATTCCAAAATACAGGAGACAAAAAAAAAACTGTCATGACTCACCAGAAAGTCCTCTGGATGTTAAAAGTCATACGGTGTTGTTTTTCTTGTGGTAAAAATACTCCACAAACAATCAACATTGTTTCTTCCTTGTTGCAAATGTTTATTTACTCTGAACTCACGTCTCTCTGGAGGTCACGTGGGATTTTTCCTCGGACATCTGAATTCTCACGAGATTTCAGGAAGTCTCGCGTGGTTTAATATCTGATATCTGAATCATGAATGAAATATCTTTTCGTGGTGTGTTGTCTCTTGGCTGTACACCACACACTGTAGGACCAAATCTATTAAATCCATGATTTTTTATCCTCATGTGTGGGCTCTATCAGTCTTTGAAAATCGCCTCCCTAGGGAGGCGTCCAGGAGGCATCCTTACCAGATGCCCAAACCACCTCATCTGGCTCCTCTTGATGTGGAGGAGCAGTGACTCTACTCTGAGTGAATCTGAACTGAACTTCTTACCCTATCTCTAAGGGAGAGTTCAGCTACCCGAAAACTCATTTCGACTGCTTGTATCCGTGATCTTGTTCTTTTGGTCACTACCCAAAGTTCGTGACCATAGGTAAGGGTAGGAACATAGACTGATAGGTAAACAGAGAGCTTTGCCTTACAGCTCAGCTCCCTCTTCACCATAGAGTCCGCAAAACTGCAGAAGCTGCAGAAGCTGCACCGATCCGTCTATCAATCTCACACTCCATTCTTCCCTCACTCGTGAACAAGACCCCAAGATATTTAAACTCCTACACTTGAGGCAGAACTTCACCCCTGACCCGGACAGAGCAATCCATTCTTTTCCCACTGAGGACTGTGAACTCAGATTTGGAGTTGCTGATCCTCATCCCAGCCACTTCGCACTTGGCCACGAACCGCTTGTGAGAGTTGAAGATCCTGGTGCAATGACGCCAACAGAACCACATCATCTGCAATCAGTAGATATGAGATCCTGAGGCCACAGAACAGGACTCCCTCCGCCCCTGGCTGCAATGAGAAATTTTGTTCATGTAAGTTATGAACAGAATCTGTGACAACGGACAGCCCTGTCGGAGTCCAACTCCCACTCTGAAGGGGTTTTACTTACTACTGGCAATGCAAACCAAACTCTCGCACCACTTGTATAGAGAATGAATGGCCTGTAGCAACGGACCCACAATCCCTACTCACGTAACTCTGTTATGTCCTGACAGTAGAATATGAGACAGATCATCTGTGAGAAAAATCAAACTCCCCTGCCTCCTCCCAGTGGTCTTCCTGCCCTTTTTAGAAATACCTTGCTCCTGGTCAGAAGCAGCCAGTAAAAGCCAGGCGGAATGATTTACCAGTGTCAATCATGCTTGTGTACACGCTGTTTACACCCTTTCCCCTGCACAGCATGTACCCTTGTCCTGTAGCTCTGCAGATGGAGGGAAATCAACCTAAGGTTACAAGAAATCTGACAATTTCTGACAGTTCTGAACATTTATCGGCCATCACTGCTAGCCTTGCTACAGGCTCTGTAGTGGGGCAAGATCTGTGGAGAGAGGGCTGTACTGCAAAAGAGTTCAAAAAGGAAGGATCTGAAAGGTGTGCTTGTTTAAATTTCCACAATTCCACAGTTTTCTCAGAACTCCCTACTGAAGCTTTAATCCAGCAAAATAACTTTTTTTCTCCTGAAATTCCTGCCCAAAGTTTCCCAGGCTGCCCAGGAAGTGCTTACAGCCAGGTGCTGCTGTTATCATTTGCGCTTACAAATAACCATATAATTATATCTAATGCTAAACTAACAGCCCAATACAAGTTTAGTTTAGTTTAGAGTTTTCAATACTTTTGGTCTGGACCTGATTTGGACTAGCTGTTTGCTCATCAATTTGGTAATATAAATTTTTCGAAACTGAGGACATTCATTGAGCTAGCTACAACACGTAAGATGATGCTTATTCATAACCTTTTATATAACCCCATTTTAAACTATCTTTCTCAAAAAAATGGATTGTAAACATTCCTTTTTTGTGAATTGGGGTGTTTCTAAAAAAAGAAAAAAAAAAAAAACCTGCAACGTCCCACTAATGTGTCTGTTCACAAATGATTAAACAGATGTGTGTAAAACAATGAAGAGGGAACATCTGAGCAAGCT